TTTAGAGCACATGTGGCTATCACAACTCATTACACGCAGGTTCTCAACAACCCAGGCTTCACCGACAAAACATGTGAATTTTAGTTAACGTAAAACAAACATAGAAACTCCTCTATGCACCAGTTACAAAAATGGTCCTCAACATTTCCCCAAATAGCTCAGGTAGATGCCCTCCTGTAAAGAATGTCTTTCCCCGCTCATTTTTTACGCACGTTTTGCGAGCTTGCTGTGTTTCTGGGGAACGCTGTTCTAAGCCGGCGTGCCTCTGAAAGGAAAGCGGCCCTAACCCGCTTCAGTTCGAATATGTGGTAAATGAAGCCCCGTAGCGTCAGTGTCAAGCGTAACGCAGTTTGAGCACACAAGTGTTACTGTTGAGCTGGCTCTTCGACGCCACGCTGATATACAGATACTCAGTACACAGTGAGCTCACCCACCCAGATGCACAGCCAGAATCTTGATGAGGAGAAGGGACACAGGATTGACAAAGGGTGTAATGTCCTCCACCCAAAACATTACCGGATAAGACCCATTTGATTTTAAGGGGCAATTTTTGCTCCGTTTTACCTTAATATGTTCCCTTTTTACTAAAACAAACAAGAAGGCGCCGAAATATGCTATTCTGTTAGCATTTTGAAGTCAATAACCTGAAAAAACAGGCCTTCAGTGATGACATAGAAACACTGTCGCTTTTCATTTCGTACTCGTTTAGCGAACTCGTTCTGAGTGATAATAATCAAGGGCTTTGACAGAACTTTTGCCGTGTTGTACAGAGACATTATGAACGTAGATTATTGCTAATATAGATTGTAGATCAAAATGAGTTTACAGATTTGCTTTGACAAGCTCAAACGCCGTGTGTCTGGAAATCTACGACCTTTTCCAGAATCCAGTCGTGAAAGAAACACATCACGTACTTTTGCCCATGTGCACTTGCAAACCTTAGAACGAAAACCCTGATGTCCGGCGTTGCAGTCTCCATAGGACGGCGGCGTCGCCCCTGCAGCTAACATTAGGCAGAGGCCAGCGGGCGAACAAAAACGATGTCGTTCCCGAAAAAGGACCTTTGAGCGCTTGAAGATGCCAGTTCGTACGTTTAGAAAGTAACCCGTGAGTATGTTTCAGCCAAACAGTTTTTAGACACAATAGAAACGCATTAGCACTCGCAGCGTATCACACAGGTGCTGAAATTTGTCCACGGAGCTAGACAAGCAAAGGTAGAATTTCTGTATTTGGGCTGCTGTCGCTGTTAATCCACTGAATAAAGATCTCAAAATCATGCAGGCGAAATGTGCGCCCAAACCTAACAGTTAAGAGGTTCAAATTCATTAGGAAAGACCTTCGGAAGCATTAGGTCACGGCGGTTGTTCTCGCGCACTAGGCGCTCGCCACCCGGCGTTAGCTGTAGCGTCCGAAGCCGTTCGGTTTGATGGAACTGCAACCCGGCCATCAATGTTCTTGGTTCTAAGATTGCGAGCGCGTAATCAAAATTTATTTATGTATTTTCTTTCACATGCTGAATCGGATAGGAAGGGACTTTGTGTGTCGGCTTTTTCATTTTTGGCCTCGTCTTGATCCGCTGTATTGAAAACCAAAGAAGCCCTTACCTTCCCGGGTAAGTACCCAGTGGTTAGTACAATAGGGGCAAATTGTATTTTCCGGTCAGAGGTCAAAGTAAGGGCTCATTCCATTACAGCATAGGATGCCTGACTGCTGCCATGCTGGCGACTCGGGGGTTTGAGTCTCCAGGTCGATACGGAAGCCCTTAGGGGGATCAGTCATGCATTAGTCGCCTGTCTGACGCCGGAGCCCCCTGAACCGAGTATAAGGCCCCCCATGGACGCAGGGGGCCTTGTTGACGCACAAAGATCCGTTACCTCCCCAGGTGCCAAATAACTGACACAGAGACTCCAGCTCAGCACGGCGATCGCCTGGCTGAAATGGGATGGAAAGCTCCCCGTTCTGAGCTGGAGCCCCTGATTACCACTGGACCCTACATGATCTTCTTTTGGCCTCTCGTCGTTAAGTTGCATATCCACTTTCGTTGTTAGAGGGCCTGCGGTGGTGGGGATTTTGTGTTTTAGGGCACATCGGCACCAACCAACGCGAGAGGCCCTCGAGCATTCGGGGTTCCGTCCCTACCCCTGTTCAGCAAATACTACCCTGGCTGACTCAAGACCCCTTGCTGACATAGAAGCCCTCTGTTAGGCACTGTTCGGCCTGACCAACACAGAAGCAAGCATTGCTTTAGGGGTGCCGACCAATACAAATCGCGGGTCCCGACCTTGTCCTCTGCTTGGGAAATGGACTCCCAGAGCTCAGACCGACACGGAGGACGACTGTTCGTTGTTGGTGCTCTAACCGATACAGAGGCTCACCCTTGTCCCCAGGGTATTCCATATCGGTGCAAGAGGCCCTCTCGCTGATAACTGGGGAGCAGCCCCGCGGGTCGGGCTCCTTAATATGACCTACCGCCAACTCTTCGTAACCTCCAATCTAACAGTGAGGGTGAGAGGGACACTTCGGGACCCTCTGCGGGACCCCACAATACCGTTGACTCCTCCTGACCGATTAGGCGCCCCTTGCCAATACTGGACCCTTGTCAGGCATTATAAGACCCCTCACTGAC